ATGTACTCGCCTCCAGCACGTGGACAGGGTGGTGGTGGGCAGAGGCGGACGAGACGTTCACGAAGGTACGTATTCCGTCTGTTGCGTGTGCGTTGTGTTGCGGACGGTATGGTGGACGTGGGCGACTTCGTCCGGCGCGGTACGTTCGTCTACATGCCTACACGCGTGCGTCAGCATTTGACCTTGCTTACAAACATGTACGTACGAGCGGCAGTCGGTACCATGCTTGTATGTTCGTAGAGCAGTATCTAATGATGATATCTATACCGCCCTAGCATTTGTGTGCGACTAACTTGGTGTGCGCGTCGACTGGACCCTGCACAGAGTGCAGCCTGGTCAGCGTGAGGCCGTTGAACGAGAAGAGACAGAGACTGACATGCTGAGAGAGGAAGCGCGGAGGCGAGCGACAGACAGGCGGGGACGGGCAGCAGACAGGCTCGAGCGGCTGCAAGCGAGAGCGAGAACGGAGGACGGGCAGGGGACAGAGTGGAGGGCAGGGCAAGCGAAGAAGAGGGACCGGACTAGCTTAGTACGCTCAGCGCATGAAGTAATGGACGGTCTGCGTTGAGCGCGAGGGATTGACGTGCGAGGTGCGAGCGGCCTGCTGAGCATGTCGACGCCTGCCTTCGAGCGTGTCGAGGGCGGTCCTGACGTGAGGCGATCGGCGGCAAAACCCTCGTACCGGGGTCCAGATGCCGCGTCCCGGCGCCGAGATGAGTGTTGTAGAAAAAGGGAGTGAGTGTAGGTGGAAGAAGGGCAAGGCACGCGCGAATTACCCAAATGATCGCGGCGGGCGCTTACAGGATCGCCCGAGTGGGTTGGTCGTTGCGGTCGCGGACCTCATCGTTGTTCTCACCTTCCACCCTCTCCCTGCCTTCTCTCGTCAGTCTCCTGTTCATATCTACCCTCTTCTTCTCTCTGCGAGCCTGCTCTTGCTCAGCACTGGGTTTTAGCTGCCACCGGGCTCCATCTGCCACCCCTCATACAAGTCTATGAGAAGTTAAACGCGCGCCGGTCGACGAGCCATCCTCGAATATCTACGCTCTCCGTGACGACTCTCAACGAACCTCCGGTGCCTCTTGAATCTCATCTTAGATGTCTGTGGCAGTGGCTAGCTCGAGCAACCTCCAGGCGCTGGAAGACGCGTCCCAGCCCACCTCCAGAGCCTCCTCCCCGTCTTCTCCAGCTACACCCATCTCGCTTCAGCAGCCTCAGCTCTCCCGTGTGAATGTTAACTTAAACGGATCTTTGACGAACACCCCAACGTCTGCTCACCCCAACCATGCGCTTGAGGCTCCTCCTGGCACACCATACCCGGATTTCCTGCGCTCATGGACCGACGCGCACGTCGCGGTCTGGCTATCCGAAATTAGGTGTGCACATCTAGCCGCGACGTTCAGGGCGAATGATATCCGAGGCGATGTCCTGCTCGAGCTGGACCAGATGATCCTGAAGGAGATGGGCATGTCGAGCGTCGGAGACAGGGTGCGCATTCTCAACGGCGTGAAGCACCTCCGACAACGATGCTCCGCCAGCAGCGCGCTCACATCCATCCTCAATCGCCCACGCGCTATCGACTACAGCCGTACCTCCAGTATATCCAGCGACCATGGGGCAGCACGCACGGGCGCGCGACGGTTGGAGTCCGCCCGACCTGCACCTCTGCATCTACCCCCCAATGGTGGATCGCCGGACCTGCCCCGCCTGGTACGCGACGGCCAGGACTCAGCTCGCTTAAACAACATGCGTCCGTTGCCATTGCAGCCAAACAGTGCGAGTACACACGGTACGCCTACGACCGCCCACAGTCGCACGAATCTCCCTCCCCTTCCTCCTCCACCACGAGGGCAGCCGCCTTTGCCCCCGATCGCCCGAACACCCCGGAACCTCCACCATGCCCCCAGCACGCCGAGTACGTCTGGACGACGCACGCCCACTCTTCCGGACGCTCCGCTTGCCCTACCACAGGCCGGACTGCTCACCCCAGGTTCCCAGACGCAGGGCCCGAGTTGGCAGGGGTACGGCCTCCCTTCAGACCCCAGGCAGGGCAATCGGGCGCCGAGCCGGTCGACTTCGCCTCTGCCAGTGCCGTTTCCCCCGTCACAGCCGCCGGTCCGCGGCGCAAGTCGTACAGCCTCCGAACACTCGAGAACTGGTTCGTATTCCGGCTCTACGCCCACCTCGGAGACCTCGAACAAGCCGCTGCCACGACCACGCACAGGCAACGGCGCGCACCCTTACGCGACCTCGCAGTTGCAACAGGCGCATGGGCTCTCCCCTATCGCAGAGTCGTTCTCGTCAGGGCGCAGGGATGCGTACAGGAACCTTAACGACTTCCGACCAGGCACGCCGTCCTCGCGCAGCAATCCCTCACTTGACGACCTGCGTCGGAAGCTGATTAAGTTCACGCTGCCCGAGGAAGGCAAGACCACGACATTAAA